CGCGCTCGGCCGAGCAGCAGGTGCGTGGCGGCCGGGGGGCGGGGCTGGCGCGGCGCGGCGCGGGCGCAAGCGGCTAGTCCTCAGGGCGGCACGCTGGTCAGAGGCAGGCTGGGTGCAGCCCCGAGCTGGCCCGCCCGAGCGCTTCCCGGGGCCCCTGGGCGGCCGCTCCGGGCCGGCCCCGTCCAGCGCCGGGTTCCTCGCGGGGGGCGCGGGTCTCGTCCGATTCCTTGCGGAAGTTCTCTCGGGAAGCGATCTGGAGCAACACGAACAGAATCGGGCCCCTCGCCCGAAAACAACCGTGGCTGCAGCTTGCGGGAACCAAAAGCGCCTGGTGCCGCAGCTGCCGCCCCCGAAGCGGGAAGCTGCGCGCAGCCACGGATCAGAGCGGGACGCTGGTCCGAACGGCCGCGGTTGGGTTGCCCCGGTGGCGCACGTGAGAAGGGGGCCACCATCCCCTCTGCGTGGCCTCCCCGACGGCCCCTCCTCTCCCGCAGGCGACAGAGACCCTGGTGGCGCACTGGAACCTCTACCTCAACCTGGCCGGCTTCTTCGTGGGCCTCTTCTCCGTCACGCTGCTGGGCCCCTGGAGCGACAGCGCGGGCCGCCGGCCGGCCCTCATCCTGCCGGCGCTGGGCATGACGCTGCAGGCTGCCGTCTCCCTGGCGGTCATGTACCTGCGGCTGCCCGTGGTCTACCTGCTGCTGGGCCGGCTGCTGAGCGGCCTCTCGGGCGACTACACCCTGCTCCTGGCCACCTGCTTCGCCTACGCGGCCGACACCAGCGACCGGCGGGCGCGCACCTTCCGGGTGGCCGTCCTGGAGGCCTGCCTCGGCCTGGCGGGGATGGCGGCCAGCCTCATCGGCGGGCGGTGGCGCGAGGCGCATGGCTACGTGGCCCCGTTCTGGCTGGTCGTGGCCGCCAGCCTCGCCGCGGCCCTCTACGCGGCCGTCGGCCTGCGGGAGTCGGTGGCGCGGCCGCGGCCCGTGGCGCTGCTCTCGCTGCGGCACTACCGGGCCGTGTGCCGCCTGTACGGGGCCCCCGCGCGGGGCTGGGCCCGGCGGAAGCTGGCGCTCTACTCCCTCGCGTTCTTCGTCCTGGCGACGGTGCACTTCGGGACCGCGGAGCTCCTGGTGCTGTACGAGCTGGGCCCCCCGCTCTGCTGGGGCCCCGGGCTGGTGGGCTACGGCCTGGCGGCGCACTACCTGGCCTACCTGAGCAGCCTGGCCGGCCTGCGGCTGCTGCAGGGGTGCCTGGCAGACGGCTGGGTGGCCGAGCTGGGGCTGCTCTCGAACCTCGCCGGGCTGCTGGCCATCGCGCTGGCCGCCACGACCCCCGTGATGTTCACAGGTGAGCCGGGCGCGGGCCCAGCAGGGGGGCCGGGCCGGGGCGTCCCGGGCTGGGGGGGCCACTGCTTTTCCTGGCCGGTAGCCGCAGGCGGAAGCCTGCCCAGAGTCCCGGAGGCTGCCTTCTCCGGCGACGGCCAGCGTGGCTCCTTTCGGTCCCTCGGGGTCCGCAGGGCTCTGCTGAGACGCCTGCCTGACCATCCCCTCCACGAAGTAGTGCCCGTGGGGCTCACGGGGCGGAAGTGGGGAGGCCGCCATTCCCTGCCCCCCCCCGCTCGCCTCTCAGGAGCCGGGAGGAGAGGGATGTTGGGGAGCAGAGGATCGCAGAAGAGGGGCTGCCCTCTGGGGCCGGACCGCCGGGCCCGTCACCTGCCCTTAAGACGGGGCCGCAGCAGCGCCGGCTCTCGGGCCCCGCAGGGGAGTCCGAGTGGGGCACATCCACTTGGGGGCACCTGGGCCCCGCATGGGCCCTTCCGTCGCCTCGCCCCCCGCCCCCTGAACCCGTCTCCACCCGTCTCCGCAGGCTACGGGCTCCTCTTCCTCTCCATGGCAGCCACGCCGGTGATCCGCTCAAAGCTGTCCCGCCTGGTTGACGAAACGGAGCAAGGTGAGGGGGCCACGGGCCTTCGCCCCCCCCCGTGCCCTCCCACTTCCATGGGGAAATTTCCGTGCCCCCTTTGGCGCAGGCCGTCCCTCGCCGACGCGTGTCTGCGCCCTCGTGGACGGAAGGCCCGCCACGTCCCGACGCGTGCCGAGCTTGGGTGCCGAGCCGCGTTAGCCTCTGGGAGGGGTGAATGGGGGGTCCGCGTCTGAAGGGACGGCTTTCCGTGCTCTGCCTGCCCCTCCAGGTGCCCTTTTTGCTGCCGTGGCCTGCGTGGAAGGGCTGTGCCTCCTAGTGGCCACAGGGGTGTTCAGCTCCCTTTACCCGGCCTCGCTGAGCTTCATGAAAGGGTTCCCGTTCCTGCTCGGAGCCCTCCTCCTCCTCGTTCCAGTCGCCATCATCGGGTGAGTGCCGCCTTCCCGCCCCACTTTTGCTTCGGGACTGCCCCCACCTGGGCGTCATTTGGACTACAGCTCCCATCATCCCTGGTCAACTGTGCTGATGGAAGTTGGCACTCCCCCCTGCACTTTAGGGAGGGGCAGCAGCTCCGTGGCAGAACGCCTCCCGGCTGGAAAGGGTTTCCGGGCGCGAGGGAGGGGAGGGCAGCCCTGGCCAAGAGGGGCCACCGTGCTCGTCTGGGCTAAGGCCCTGTGCAAATCGGCCCTACCGCTGCAGAGCCATGAGGACTAGCACCTCGTCCCGTTTCTTTAGCGGCAGGGCCACAGCTCCGTAGCCGAGTCCTTGCTTTGCATGCGGCTGGGGGTCGCTTCAGACCCCACCTGGTTCGGTCAGCCAGTGGGGGAAAGACCCTTCCCAGACTAAGCCCCTGGAGATGTTCTGCCCACGGTACAAGTGATGGACGGACACATGGCTTGCCCGACTTCTCCCCAAGCCTCCCGGGTGGGGGCTCTTGGAGAGCCCTTGCAGCAGATTTGCCCAAGCCCTGCCCCAGCCGTGGCACTCTAACCACTAGGTGGCGCTCCTCTGAGGTTCTAATGCCCTCCGTCCCTGCCCCAGGTGGATAGAAATTAAGGACTCGAAACCGGAGTACAACCGCTTCACGGACGTGGCCAGCCCAGCGCAGAACGAGGAGCACCATCGCGCCGGATGAAATGGTTTGACCGGGCCGCCTTGAAATGGACCGGAACAGAAGCACCTTCCTTTGGGGCCTTTCCGGGTGAAACCTGAGGAAGTCCCGGGGAAAGGCGAAGGCAGGCACGCACGTGTCGTGAGAGCAGGATAATGAGGACTAGAAACGTGCCTCGTGCTTGACCCCAGATGGACGGCACCGCTGGACGGGCAGGTGCACAAGCGGCAGGTGCCTGTCCCACATGGCTGCGGGCCTCGCTCCTTCCATGCCGCGCTCTTCCCTGGGAGAGGCCGGCCACTTCCCCGGGGCAGCAGGTTCAGACCTTTCCAAGGCCTTTTCCATCTCTGTCAAAGAGCGACAATAAAATTGTAAAACTGGGGCGTGAGCACTGATAAGAGTCCTGCAGCTCCAAAGGAGCCTCGTCCTCTTGCCCGATTCCGCCCCTCCAGCGTGGGCAGGCGGTCGCCGAAACGGGGCTGCTGGGCCCCTAGCTTGGACTCCAGCTCCCAGCATGCTGGCAGCAGCCAGCGGGTGTTGGGGCTCAGCCTCTGGGACGGCTGCTCCGCACCCCGCCAGACTTGGGACGGGGCCTGGGTGGCCGGCCTGGGGGTCGCTCGCTCGCTCGGGCTGGGTGCCAGCCGGGGGTCCTCCGTCCGTGCTGCTGCCCCGAGACCAGGCCCAGCCTCACCAGCCCATGTGCCACTGCTTCCGGGGTGGGGGGGCAGCCTCTCTCCTGCAAGCACTGGGCACCCATCCAGCTCCACGGATCAAAGGTGGCCTCCCTCGCCGGCCTTGGACCCTGCCCCGTCCCGGGCGTTCCCCTCCTCGGAGCAGCTCTGGGCAGCTTCCGGGAGGACGTGGGGCGGGCAGGGGCTTCGGTGCCCCCCACAGCCAGGCCGGGGCGCATGGGATCCGTGCGCCGTGGAGCTTGGCCCTCCCTCTTTGCAGAGGCTCCGAAGAGTGGCAAATGCAGCATCTGGCCAAAGGGACCCCCGGAAACCCCCCTCCCACGGGAGCCCCCGGCGTACCCCTCCGACATGGGCAGTTGCCTCTCGCCACCCATCGCCTGTCCCCGGGGACGCGTCCCACCCCCTTACGGCTGTCCGAATGGGGGGGCCACCCTGCATCCCGCAGGAGGCCCCGCGCCGAGCGAGGGACCCCTTCCCCGGATCCCCCGCCAGAAAGAACGCGCAGAGACCCCTCGGCTCCTCTATGGTTTTATTCGTTACGGGACGATGTGGTGGGTCCGGTGCGCACGGGGACACGCACATGCACAGGCGCCTAATGCCAAGGGTCGGCCGGCCCCCCGCGTCGCTCACCCGGCGAGGGGGCCGAGGGGGCGGCGGGCGGCGGGAAGCTGCAGCTCACATCGCGGTGCGGAGCCGCCTACGGGCTCGGGGGGCAGGGGCCCCGAAAACGCGAGCGGGCAGGGCGAGCCGTGGCGGGCCGGCAAGAGGACGGCCGCTCTCCCTCCAGACGGGGCGCTCCAGCCAGCCCAAAGGCTTCCCCCTCCCTTTACAGAAGAGACCCCCCGCCCCGTGTGCCGGATTCACCCACACCCTTCTTCGGGGTCCCACTGCGGCCCCCCCGGGCTGTGCGGGTCCCGGGATTCAAGTGCCAACCTCCAGCACATCCTCGGTGCTCAGGCGCTCTCCCGTGGCTCAGCCTTCCTCACGACAGCCCTGCGGGGTGGGCCCGGCGCCCCCGGCCCCTCCCACCACAGGGCCCCCTCGGCACCGGCCCCTCCGTCCTCCTCGGCTCGTCACGCGCCGCCTCCGTGGCGATTCGGGGTCCCGTCGCGGCTACGGCAGTACAAAGCTGGGGGACTGAAGTGGCTTGGAAGATAGCGGAGTGCGGGGGCCATCCGTGGTGGGGAGGGGGCTACGGGCCGGCCGGGGAGGGGCGGCTCCGGCCCGGCGAGGCCTCAGTAGGCGTGGTTGGCCACGTACAGCGACTGCCCCGCGGCGCCAGAGTCGTCCTCGCCGCCGCCTTCGTAGTTGCCGAGCGCCGCCAGGCCGTTGATCTGGGAGACAGAGACCCGAAGTCGCCTTGGGGGCCGGCAGAGCGTGTCCCCCAGACCGGCCCGGCCCCCTCCTCCGCCGGGGCAGGGGCCCCCACTCCCGACAGCCAAGCCGGCGGCCCCTCGGCCCAGGGCCACGCAGGGGCCGGCTCCCCTGCCCAGCGTCGCCCACACGGCCGGCACAGCGGCCCTGCGGGGTCTCCGAGCAAAGCCGCCCGGCTGCCCCCGTGGGGGAGACCCTCGCCGGTCACCTCGGCCCGCTTGACGAACTCCTCGGTGGCGGCGCTCTCGTTCTCCCGCTGGCCCCGCCAGGCGCCGAGGGCCGAGGCCTGCAGGGCGCGGCCGTAGGAGAAGGTCAGGGCCCAGGGCCGGGGCAGCGGGCAGGTGTTGACGGCGTTGAGGTTGACGGACGCCTCCTCCTCGCTCTGCCCGCCCGACAGGAAGGTCACGCCTGCGGCAGAGAGCCTCCGTCAGGGCCCGGGGCCGCCGCGCCGGGGGCGCCCACCCGGGGCCGAGCGCCCCGGGGCGCCCCGCTCGGGCCCCGCCGGGGGGCACGCGCTACCTGGGACGGCGGGGGGCACGGTGCGCCGCAAGGCCGTCACCGTGGCCATGGCGATCTCCTCGGGGCTGTACTTGATGGGGCAGGCGTGGCCTGGCGTCACCATGTTGGGCTTCAGCAGGGTGCCTTCCAGGTAGACGTGGTGGTCGCTCAGCGCCTTGTACACCGCGGCCAGGACCTGGAAGCGGCAGGGCGCGCGGGGGGCGGTCAGCGGGGCGCCGGGCCCTCCCGCGAGCGCCTCCCGAGCCCCCGCAGCACGGCCGTCGCCCGCTGCACCCCAGAGCGGCCCTTCCGGGGGCCTGAGCGCCTGCTCTTGCCTTTGACGATCGGGCGCATCGCATCTGCCGCCTTCTCCTTCTTTTTAATATTGCAAACCGGGACAAATGTTTTAGCGATCGAGACGGGAATGGAACGCAAGCGCATGCCAATCTTTTCCCTGCTTCTGAGCAGCCCGAGCGTCTGTCGGAGTTCTCCGCTTCAGAGAAGCTCCAGGGCCACGGTCCGGGCACCGGCAGGGCCCAGAGAAGGAGACGGGGGCCCCGAAATTCCCCCCGACACCCGCAGACTGCAGCTTCGAGCTCTCCCTGCTGGGGGCCGAGAGGAAGGAGAGGCATGTGGTCTTCAGAATGGGGTGGGGGAGCAGGGGGAGGCCAAGCCTGCCGGTCAAGGGGGTACCCCGTGGCTGCCAGCTGCAGGGAACCGGGCACAAAGTCGGCCTTCACGGCGAGAGCGGCCCTCTCCGGAGGCAGGAGCGTCGTGGGCGTCCAGCCCTCACCTTCTCCGTCACGTACTGGCAGCGCTTCAGGTCGTGCTCGCCGTCGGGCAGGATCTCCGGCTCCACAATGGGCACGATGCCGTTCTGCAAGGAGAGGGCAGGGGTGCTGAGCAGGCCCGGGGGCCACGGGCGCAGGCGGGCGGGCCGGCCGGCCGAGCCAGCCCTCCGTGGGCGCTGCGGCCGCTCACCTGCTGGCAGATGCTGGCGTAGCGGGCCAGGACGTTGGCGTTCTCCGCGATGGCCAGGGCGGAGGGGGTGTTCTCGCTGATCTTGAGCACGCTGCGCCACTTGGCGAAGTCCGCGCCGTCCTTCTTGTACTGAGCGCAGCGCTCCGAGAGCCCGTCCAGGCCTGCCGGAGAAAGCGGGGGCGGGCGGCTCGCTCAGAGTCAGGGGGCGGCCCGCGCCGGCGGGGGTGTATTCTGGGCAGCGGGCGCTGCGCCGGGCTCCCCGGCCCCCCGCCGGCGAGGCTCGCAACGGCACGGGAGGGGCCGTGGCCGCACGCCTGAGCCACTCCAGCCACTCACGCGCCTCTGCTGGCGCTCCGTGGAGCCGTACCTTGGGTGGTGGTTTCCCCGTCCGTCCCGGCGAGCGGCACCACACCTTTGTCCACCTGAGAGGAAGGAGGGAGCGGCTGACGGCTGCTGGACGAGCCCCCAGGCCCTGCTGGGGAGCATGGGCCGGAGGGTGCCGGTGCCCCGCTGCCCGCCCGTGCGTTTCCTGGGGGACGGCGCGGCTCGAGGGCGCCCCGCCGGCCGCGGAGGTACCTTGATGCCCACGACGATGTCCTTGCTCTGGATCAGCTCCACGAAGGGGGTGCCGTCGTCCGTCTTCTGGTACAGGGTCTCGTGGAAGAAGATGACGCCGCCGATGCACTTCTTGATCCGGCTGTCGGCGCTGAAGAGCAGCTGCCGGTAGAGCCGCCGGTTCTCCTCGGTGTTCTCCACCCCGATCTGGTGGAGGCGCTTGGCCATGCTTCCTGTGGGGGGCACAGCGGAGGGGGGGTGGCGGTGCGTCCCCGTGGCCGGAGCGCCGCTGTCCGGGAGACCGGCTGGGGCGAGGCCTCCGTTCCCACCTGCGAAATGGGCAGAGCGGCCCTACGGGGTGGCGTGGGGACGGCGTCCCGAAGAAACACTGCTGGGAAATGCCGCTCGGGGGCCACCTGTGGGCGCAGGGCCTGCCCCCTGAACCGGCTCCCCTCCAGACGTGCTGGCTGGGTCCTGGGGGACTTGTGGCCCGCCACCGTGGGGCCCTGCCGCGAACCCTCCGTGGGCCACAGCCCCACAACACTCCCCACCGCGGGGGAGCTGCGGGCGCCGGGCACACCTACCCACGGACTCATCTGCGGCCAGGATCCCCTTGCCCGGGGCCACGATCCGCTGGGCAATGTCCGAGAGCTCCTTCTTCTGCTCTGGGGTGAGCGCAGGGCACTGGTGCGTCATCTTGCTGGTCTTCCCGGGGCCGGTGCTGGGGACACGCAAGAGGGGGTCAGGGCACAGCCGTCCCTCCGCCTCTCCTGGCCTGCGTGTGCCCCCAACACACAGGGCCCCCCCCAAGCCCCCACCACAGCGCCCCGTGCAGGCTTGCAGGGTGCCTGCTGCTTGGCCTGGCTTCTCCCCTCCAAGAAATGTCACTTTGTTCAGAAATAAAGGGAACCAGAGGCAAGGAAAAGAAGCGTCGAAATAAAGCGAGACCGCAGAAGCAGCCAGCGGATTTGTGCAGTATAATTTGGAAACGGTAACCGATCGCTTAAGAACATCTGCCGTGAAAGGAGCAGAATACCTAAAGCAAACGTTTTTTTCGCATGTCACATAGGCAGCATACAAAAGACGCGAGCGAGAGCCAGAGGGGCGCAAGGGAACATGTTTGGTTGCCCTCTGAATGCAGAATGAAGGAGAACCCCGGGCCAGGATGGCCCTTTCTTACATTCTTAAAATTAAACATGAAAATGTTCTTGAAAATTAAAATTTCTTAAAATTAGGGCTCCTCGCTTGCCAGATTTGCTGAATAATTTCATCAGCTTGCTGCTCGCTGGCTGTGACGATTTCGGGTGACGTCTGTCGCCTCACGCGAGCCTCTGTCACCCGACTGGGAATCGCTCCGGAAATCAAAAGCCGCACCAAAGCAACACCGAAGCAAAAGGAACGCACAATCTGCCACTTGAAAAATGAGCCTGAAAGATGCGCTGTCCTTTCGGCCCCCAGCGACCCCCACCCTGGTGCCCTTCAGATGACCTGGACTACAGGTCCCATCATCCCACAGCCAGTTTGGCCAATGGTTTGGGATGTCCGAGGCTGCTGTCCAGATTGTCTCTAAGGGAGCGGGTTGGGGGGCGTTGGAAAAATGACAGGGTGGGAACGTCGTTTGGAAGCCCTCCGAGACGCCTGGTCTGGATGGCGGCGGATTGAGCTGTCTCGAAAGGTACTGCAAGAGGTGTCAGCAGCCCGAGGCGAGTCGGAGCATGTACAGAGCGCCTCCCCACCATTACCACCCATGCTTCTCGCAGCTCAGAAATTCAAGCACCGGGACAGGCCACCATCGGCTTCCCCCGCGCGCCCCGTGTTCACAAACCGAAGGCCAAAACCACAGATTTCTCGGGATGAGCCGAGTCCCGTTTGGATCCGAGGGGGCAGGGAAGCCGGCAAAAGCTGCGCCAGAGAAAAGCACGCTGCACATGCCCAGGGGTGCACCTGCCACTCACCCTCTAGTCACGCATTTGGCTCCGGGGCAGAGACGCCCTGGCTGAGCCCTGCCTCGGCCCCGGGTGAGTCCCCTGCACGGCCCCCCCACCCCCGCCGTGCGCCCTCCCCGGCCAGACCCGGCGCTGTGCCCTCGGGCCCACGGAGGCGGCGTGAGCGGAGCAGAGCAGAGCTGCGTCACGCGCAGCATCCTGTGGCCTCTGCCGCGGCGGACACATGCCCGGCCTCGTGGCACCCGCAGCCAGATGGCGGCGGTGGCGGCGGGCGGGGGGCCCAGCCCCGGGGCCGCCCGAGGCTTTGAGGATTAATGCCCCCCCCCGGCCAGCAAAGCCGGGGAAAGCTCCTCCTCCTCCCCCCGGCCTGCAAAGTGGGGAGCATCGCGGGCTCCCAGGGCGGCGAATGGCCGGGCGGGGGTGCCCCCCCCATGCCAAGCCGCCTCGGGGACCTCCAAAGCAGAGTGGGCCCCCGCCCTGGGTGCGGGCTGCCCCACCTGCGGGGAGGGGGCAGACTGGCACCCAGGCGGCCCAGGGTGGCTCCTGTCGGTTCGGGGCTGGCCGCCTCCTCCCCCAGAGATCAGGCACAGGCACGGCTGGGGGGGTCGGACGGGGGACGCGACCTGCGAGCTTCCCAAGGGAAAGCACGGGGCCCTCGAAAGGGGGCCGCACGTTCAGGGGCTGCTTTTGCGTCTTTTGCCCGCCTGCTCCATCGGGGGGGGGTCCCTCGAATGCAGCGGGCCCCCAAGGGCCGGGGGCCCGTCTCTGGGCATCCCGCTGGCCCCGAGCCAGGCCGCCGAGGAGGCTGGGCCACCGTCCCCTTGCGCTGTCCTTGAGGCCTTCCCAGCCGCCCCCCCCCCCCCGCTGTCCCTTGGCAGCCACCCGGCGGGGGGAGCAGCTCCTCCAGGGCCCCTCGCGACCCGTGCCAAGGTCACCCCCAGAGGTCACCCCCAACCCTCTCTGCTCCGCTCTCGGGGCACGGTCTCCCACCCTGCGCCCGTCGGCCAGCCTCGCCACTGGCCAAACTGGCCCTTAGTGGGGGGGGGGGACCTCTGAGACCCCCCCCCACACACACACACAGCGGCATCACAGAGTCTGGACCAGGGGAAAGGGGTGGCTCAGGAGGGCGAGTCCCGGCTCTGCAAGCTGAGCAGATACAATAAAGAAACACGGAGGGCGCGCGAGGGGGAAGGGGCCTCCGGGGCCATCTAGTCTGACCCCTGGCTCCAGCTCCTTTCCTTAACCTGCATTGCGACACAGGGCAGTGGCTGCCAAATATGGATGGAGGCAAATTATGGGGGGGGGGG